TAAATTGTAAAATAGATTTCATAGTAAAAATTTTTTTTAAAAAAGGTGAAAGGAAATTTTTTTTTATGTAAAATAAAAAAAAAAGTCATAAAATTAATATTTATAATTATTAGTACAAAATATATATCCATCCATAATTTGAAACACAGTCCACTAAATTTGCTAATCTATTATTAATTAATAAAAATTAAATAATAAATTATAACAATTTTAAAATTGCTAAATAAGCATAAATCTTTCTAAAATCAGAAATAAAAAATTTCAAAACTTAAAATTAATTTCTCCTGGCCTTTGTTGCCTCAAATTCATCAATTATATCGCTGAAATCAATATTTCGTGCTCTTTCGTTTTCAATAGACAGTAGAGCAAGTCCATTCAATCGATCCTGTCTCATCGAACTTTCAAATAATTTTTTATAAGTTTCAATTTTGAGAAAGTATAACAACAAGTATAATCTCTACACTCTGTCACACATACATCCTTAATCCATTATAGTGATTTTTGTTAGTAACTGACAATTTTTAATGTTTTTTCTTTTCTTATTTCAAATTTTATTGTCGTAATCTAAATGTAAATACTCAAAATCATTAACTTCTCTGTTAATTTCTTAATTCAGTGAGATTTTCACACAAAAATTTCTTTCTATTTTAGTTCAAATGGGCGAACAATTAATAATCTCATACACATTTTATAGATAAGCAATTACATTTAAAAGAGATGTTTAACAACTATTTATATTTTAGACTTTCCTTTCCTCCTAAACCAGTCGTTTATCATCATATAGGTCAATCATTTTAGATATAAAATAAAGTTTCAGAACTTCCAAGTGTAAAAGTCATTTTTTTTCAAGTGTTACATTAGAATACTAGGAATAAGCGTAACAAGAAATTTTTATGATATAGTATAGTATAGTTACGTTAGAATTTTCTTTCAAATGTTAAAGGGTAGGATATATTAATTTTAAGACATTAATAAAATGAGGAAAAGAAAGAAGAAACAAAATATCTCGATTTGACCAAGATTTCTTACATTTTGAGAAACGAACAAACTGTGTTTTTAGAAAAATATTCT